CTTATCTTGTGCGATTTGATAAAAATATATTGATTTTATTTGTTTTGTGATAAAGAGACTAGAATTATATTGTAGGTTTCACGTTTGGTTGAGACCGTCCTAGTGGACCTACGTTCGTTTCGCACTTAGGAGATCAGCGCCCTAGGGAACGGACAGCGTTGGAGTCCATTTGGCGTTAACCAAGTGTACCTATACTCCAGCGAACGAGCAAACGCCCTCGACTGCCCTGCCTCTGCAATTGCATGTTAAAGTTTTCGCACGTGGGATAGTACCTCAGTACGGATACGCCCCTGAGGGTGCTGACAACCCCTCAGGGAAGGCAAGATGTGCCCTGCGAAAACCTATTATGTCGTAGGGGGCCTTCGGATGTACAGCTGGCGCACCCGGCTAGAGCGACGAAGGGACGACCCAACCTCGACCGTTTCGACAGTCCTCGGAGTTAATTTGCGTCGTTCCGTAAGTTGTCTCAAGTCTTTTTTAATAAATATATTTGTTTTGTTTTGTTTCAACTCCTACGTGACATGATCGAGAATGCTCCCACGCTTTGCAAAAAAGTGGGAACCGATGCGCTCGACACCGGTACTGTATGAATATGGTATGGGACATTGGGACAAAATTCCCCCACAAAACAAAAGAAGGAGAGTAGTGGAGCGAGGACCTTAGGCAGTTAGGTAGTGGGACGTAAAACGGCGAGGGGATGCAGAAGTGTAAGTTCAAACAAACCCTGAAAATTTCAAATGAAACGGGTACCTCGTAAAAACAGCATGGCGACCACAATCACACTGTTGCCATGCCACTACGTAACTTCGAGAGAGAATAACACAGAACAGCAAAAAAGAAGAAAAGAAAAAAAAAAAGTGTGATTTTAAAATGGATAGGGCGTCGTTAGTCACTCCTCAGGGACGCGAAATCTCCAAGGAATTGTTCGTTCCACCTATCCTCGGGGATGCAGTCCGAAAAAGAAAGTGAAAACGCTCGTAAGGAAATTCCTTGGGCAATAGGAATTTCCTTCCTTGTGCACAAGGACTCCAGTTTCACGGAGAGGAGAGGGCACACCGGTAGATAGACGTTACAGCCGAAAATCTGGATTGTGGCGTCACCCCATTGGCTGAAGGCCTGAAGGACAACTGATTTGTTTGTTCTTTTCCTTTCTTTTTCTGACATAGGTCTTAGGAAATGTCATCGGCTACGTCCCCGAGGACAGGTGGAACGAAGGGGCCAAATTTCCGTAGTCCAAGGATTTCAATAGGAGTGTCCAAGGACGCCCATAGTCATAGTTGCCGAATAGAGAATTTATGATAACTGCCATTATTACTGTCTATACCCGAATAGAACGCCTGGTCATTGGGGTTGCATATGGGGCTACTTGCTGTCTAGGTACAGCTGTGCATTCTATTCCCGGTCATTGGGGTTGCATATGGGGCTACTTGCTGCCTAGGTACAGCTGTGATAACCAGGTGCACGGTTCTATTCGTAGACAGATGCTGGCTCTGTGAAGTAAATGTGTGTGTGCCTGTAATATCAGCCACATGGCCATGGGCTCGACTCGCGATGTGGTACCTAGAGGTGGGTAGGATTCCAATAGGCTATCCAGGATAACCAAATAGGGGACAACTGAGGGTAGACTGCTACGCCGGGCATCGAACCTCTATGACAACCTGGGCTAAGGGGTTTCCAGTGTATGGGGACAGCAGTGTACATTGGGCCCCTTTTAATATAAAAAAAAAAAAAAAACCAATGCACAGATTCGACCAGCAAGCATCTTTTCAGTGTTCAATGATTTTTTAATGAGATGCTGGACCCCGTTTCCACGACTGTGGGGAAAAAAGAAAAAAAAAAAAAAAAAAAAAAACACCACCACTACCTCCGACCCTGTTTTAACCGACCACCTCGCACCGAGTTTTGCCGAGCCAGGGTCCCATTGTATTTTCTTTCCTGGTACTCGCAGCAATTACATCCAAAAAAAAGAGGGGGAAGGGGGGAGGGGAGGGGGGAAGGGGGGAGGGAAGAAAAAGTGGAAAAAAAGAAGAAAAAGGAACTTCCGCCGTCATAGCCATCAGATGCATTCTACGGTGTGCTGGTGAGACTGTGCCGTCGGTGAGGGCATCAATCCCATGACCAAGAAAAGAAGAACAGAAAAAAAAAAAAAAAATCCTTTCTGCTTTGATCGCGGTCCGATACAGGACAGCTACAGCACCAATTTGAGTACGAGGTGAGTGGGGCGCGTGGAATCCGCCCTGCCTCGCTGGCAGGGGACCAAAAGATAGGAAAAAAAAGAAAAAGAAAGAAAAAGGCAAGAGCAATCACGTTTCGCAGATGCTGGCCGGATACATTCTGCGGGCGGTTTGAGACTGTGCCCTCAGAGAGGGCGTCTGAACGATGACCATGAAACGAAGAAGGAAAAAAATAAATAAACCTCCCTTATGTCGTGATCGAGGTCCGATACAGGACGCTACTGTGCTTGTGTGAGTTTGAGGTGACTGAGGCAGTTTCCTGCCCCGCGTGGAATCCGCGCTGCCTGTCTGGCAGGGCACCAAAACCGAAGAACAGGAAAGAAACGCAAAACGGAAACAACGCACTCACGTGCCGCACACATTGGCCAGGTACATTCCTCAAAGCACTGGTGTCACTTCTACCTGCAGGAGGGCCTTCCGCGACGCGGATGTATTCACAATGCTTTGTTTTTCGTTTTCTTCCTGCCTCAGCGTGGGCCTGTAGGGTCCAAATGTTTCCTTTTTTCCCCCTTTCTACCCGACCCTCCCCCAGACCCCCGAAAAATGCGGTGTGACGCTAGGCTACCAGAGTGGCCCGGGTCCACTTGCCCCGGCTGGGCCAAAAAGAAAAAAAAAAAAAAAAGCCCGGGTCCACTTGCCCCGGCTGGGCCGAAAAAATAATAATCACAATAATAAAAAAGAAAAAGAAAAAAGAAAATAAAAATTATTTTTTAATTCAATTTGGTAAAGAATTGAGATGCGACGCTGAAAAAAAAAAAGAAGAAAAGAAAAAAGGTTGTTCAGTTTACTTTCCCGCATAACATACCTTTTTTCTCAGATTTTCTGGATTTGTTTTTGTATTTTTTTTGGCTGGGACCTTCCCTAGTCATTACACGGCCGGGCCGCCCGGGAAAATAGGGTGACCCGGGCGGCCCGGCTGGTAGACTAGGTGTGACGTATATTCCCGTTTTTTTTTTTTTTTTTTTACATATATTCCCGCTTTTCCCAACAAAGAAAAGTAGTGGTGAAGGAAAAAAAAAGAAAAGAAAGAGGGGTAGTTTACAGGTGTTTCTTCTTCTTTTTTTTTCTTTTTCCGCCCTCCTTGTGATGACAAGGTCTTTTCCAAAAACATAAAAGAGTACTACAGTAGCAGTCTTTTTAAGTTTTTACCCGAATACAGCGCCCAGCCATTCTGGCTGTATCTGGGCTGCATTCAGTCAAGATACAGCGATAATGATAAGACATTCTATTACCCGCAGGTGAAGACCGTAGTAGGCGCGTGCTCTTGTGAGATATAGACAAGTTCATCATTCAAAAGATGATAGGAACAGATCCCACTGGCAAAGAGGATTGCAATAAGTGGCTGAATCTGGACGTGTTCCACACAGATGCAGAAAAGCAGTGCAATCACAATTGTTTGCACCTCCCCGCAAACACGGCCAGATTTAGAGGCTTATCCCAATCCTCTTTACCGGTGGGATCTGGCCCCAATACGTATTGGATTCAGTAGCAGCTCGGGCGTCACTTCTTCAGGTACCAGGCCCGACCTTCAATTTCGCGTCAAATAGCTAAGAACCCTTCAATTGGCCTTTTTTTTTTTTTTTTTTTTTTTAAACACGCACACACATATGCCCCATCTACTGGGGGGCGAACCGTTCAATTTTGATGCTTTATAAGATATAACTTGTCTTTAGGGTAAGAAAAAAAACATACATATATGTAATTTAAGTCATAATTGAAAAACGTTGCATCCAGGGTTGCCGGCGTTCGGGACGGGCCGAACGCCCGAACCCGAACGCCCGAACGTTTGGGACCCCCTCTCGACGAGTTCGGACGTTCGGCCGAACGCGGAACC